CTAGGCTCAGTGGTTTAACCCACAGCGCCACCCATGCCCTTTTCTATATCTTGCTGTACTTTGAAAAACTTTCACAATGCCGTTATAGAAAACTAATGTACATAAAAGAAAAGAAAACTCTTTTCCTTCCTTCCTTGTAGGTCTTCTTCAGAGTTGGGGGCTTCGTCCTCTGATGCTCAACTCAGCGCTTTCCAAGGGGATCCTGGTGTGCTTTTATCCCCAGACCACTTTCCATTTAGTTTCCCATAGAGCCCAAGACCTGGGAGGGCTTCCCTCTTTCTGCCCTAGCTGGCCGGCCCTAGATGTCCGGTGTGTCCGACATTTTTCTCTCAGACAGAATGCGAGCCTTCCCTGTTTGGCTCTTCTTTCTCAGGTCCATCTAAGGAGATGAAGGTGTCCTCATCCTTTATTTACTAAATGTCTTAATTTGTGTGTTACCCAGGCATATGGGGACTCTCCACTCATTCTTTAAGGAAATGGCACCTTGGCTTGTTTTAAAGGACAATTTCCCGGTTGTTGACATCTGCAGGGCATCCCCTAGGACCTCACATACGGTACTTTGGTGAAGCCCTATAAAGTAGATGGCTTTCCCCCAGCTGACACTGAGGAAAGGTGCTCAGAGGGTTGTTCATATTTGGTTTTGATGCAGAGGAATCCCAGCCCACCCTTTGGGGATCCTGCTTCTACATCCTGTTCCCTGAATACCCTCCAGTCCATTCTGGCCAAAAATGGAAATTGGTACTGTCAGAGCTGCCTCAGGTCCCAGCTCACAAAGGACCAACGCCAGTCCGCTGTTATATAAAATAGTCTTTATTGAAGCTCAGTTTCTCTTTTACAGCCACGGCGCGCAGCTCTACGTCTTAAACCCTAGACCGCCGAAGCTCCGTCTGAGTCTCCTCCCCCCAGACACCAGTTTAAGACCCTAGCCTTGCTCCACCTCTTTCTCTGCTCCCTCCTCCTCTGGGTCCGCCTGGTCCGCCGGGGTTTCCCCTTCCTAGACTCTTCTGACCCTCCCTCCGGCGAGCTTTAGGACCTGGTTCCCAATCCGGGTTTTCTGCTGTCCCGCGCGCCTGTACTTTGAACTTGGCGCGCGCGCCCAGCCTGCCACCTTCCTTCTGACCGTTATACTGCTCCTGTCGCTGCTCCCCTCTTCGGGGACGCTAGCTGGGTTTGACTCCTCCTCCCTGCTTGCCGGAGGAGACGCTGACTCTGACCTATGGGACTCTTCCCCCCCACTACGCTCTGGTGGGGAAGCTGGCCCTGATTTCCAGCTACTGCTCTGGGAGTCTCCGCTGGCCCCCTGCTTCTGGTGTGTCTCCCCCTGGGACCCCCCTTGCCCTGGCCATCGGCGCCCCCTTCTGGGAATCTTCTGATTCACTGGAGAGGCTCATGGAATCTCTCGGGTGACTGTCATTCTGCCCTCCGCTGCCCTCAGATTCTTCCCCTTCGCTCTCCATTTCCTCTCTCCCCTGCGCCTCTGATCCTGAGCCCCTGACAGGTACCTACTGTGAATTTCTGTTTGAGGAGTGGACTGGAAGACATTCAGCCACCTCTGTTTTTCCCTCAGCATTCTCTTAGTCTGATTCATATGTTTTTGTTTCCATGCATTCGGTGGAGGTGTAGCTGTGTTACTGACATGCTTATGTTCCAACTGAGCTTCTAGTATTGGGGTTCTTCAACAACCCCCAAGTATTTTGAAGAGTTTTCACTCACTTGGTTTTGCTTTTCAACTTTCCTTTTACCAGTGCTCTCATTCTTGGTCAGTTTTCTCATTTGAAGCCAAAAGTGACCATGTTGGATTGCCTTCGTGACTGGCAATTTAAATATATCTTGAATTTGATATCACTCCAACATGTCTCACTGATTAAGTATCCATCTCAAGACCACTTGGCATATTTGGGTCAGGAGGATGATACATAGCTGTCAACATTTCCCTTTTTTTAAGGGAAATTCCCTTATTCCGAATAGGATTCCTCGCAAGAAAAGGGGAAAGTTGACAGCTATGGGATGATAGCATGCCCCCAGCACTGAATAACTATGGGCACCCACAATGACTCTGTGGGAAAGTGGGTCCCCCTGGGAATTTCTAGCATGTTGCACTTGTTGAGCAGGCCACCTCCAGCACACCTTTTCCTTCCTATAGCGTTTGTGTCCAGAGATAAGCATGGGGCAGACTTGGGATGTGCTCGGGATGGAGAGCAGGTTCCTCTCGGGTGAGGTGCCCAGAGAGCCTGGCATGAGCCTGACCCTCAGCCTTGGCTCTTGCAGCTCCTGGACACCTGGGATGCCTTTGCGTACCAGCAGCGGGAGGTCTCGGACTTCATTTTCTCACGGCGCCTCAGCATCATCGCGGAGCTCAGTAGCTCCCTCCGGAAAGCGACCCTGGAGCTGCAGGAGCTGCTGACTGTCGTGACAATGGGGCATTTCCAGGACCCCTCCCAGAACCCCCGGGCCATGGAAGAGGAGCTGCGCACTCTCTGCCAGTCCTTCCAGGCCACGGTGTTGCGCATCACTGATCTCTGCCGTTCCCAGCGGATCCTGACAGGTGAGCTGCAGGGTGCCCTTTCCTTGCAAGGAGGGAGCTCTCTTCTTCTGGGCTGGGCGTGAACCCTGCTGCGGCCTTTTGCTGCCTCTTCAGGGGATTGCATGGACGTCACATTCATCACTGGGAAGCAGGGGGTCATCGAGATCCACACTCGCATCTGGCAGCTTTTCCGCATCATCACTGAGCAGATCACTGAGTGGAAGTGTCTGGCATTTGTCAAGGTAAAGAGACGGAGGGGGCTGGGTTGGCCTCTCCCTGCCCAAGGAGAACCACTTTTGGGGTCCCAAACCTCAGTCCCTCCCTCTCCCCCAGCATGCAACCTATGTGAGGCTGCCCAAGCACACCTCCTCTCCTCTCCTCTCATCCCCACCCCCAGTTCAACACCGGTTTGGCCATGGAGAAGACCGAAGAGTGGCAAAAGGAGGTGATCAGCCTGGAGCACTGCCTGCCCAGCCCAAACCAGGTGCTGCAAGCCTGCCTGCGTGCCATTGCCAACTTGCAGAAGTACCTCCCTATCCTCCTGAAACTGGGCAGCCACTTTCTCAAGCTCAGCTGCTGGAAGGAGATATTTGCTGGTGAGACCCTGGTGCTCAGACATGAGGCAGGAAGCACCTTGGCCCCTGCTGGACCCTGCCTCCTCCTCCTCTCTTTCCATGGTGGGAGCAGTGGGGGTCAAGAAGCCAGCAGGCAGGGAGGTGGGGAAGAAGCCTCCTCTGCAGAGCCCATCTCCTCAGCTGCCCCCCCTCTCTCTCAGTGATGGGCGTCAAGTGCCCCCTCAACATGCAGTTCACACTGGGGCAGCTCCTTTCCTACCCGCTCCTGGAGCACAGTGACTCCATCTTCAGGGTGAGTAGCTTGGCATGGCAGGTTAGCAGAAGCTGGGCCCCCTGGAGAAAAGTAGGCTCCTTGTGCCCGTGTGGCCCACCCCACCACTTTCTCCTGGGGGGCTGTGACCTTCCTTGATCCCCAGGTCTATGCTTTGGAGAAGAGCCGCCATTACGCCAGGGACACCCTTTTCCGCCTGGAGAGATCCTGGGCAGAGAAGCAGTTCCGCCTCGTCAATTTCATCCTCAACGTTCCCCACAAGGAGCCGCAGCCTGAGCGCTTTCGCCGGCCGGCTGCTGCACGGCACCGCCAGCCCAAGCTGGAATACATCTCTAAGGACAGTGGCACTTACGTTTTGTCAGGTAAAGCGCCAGAGTGCCAGCCTGGGCTGCAATGGCAAGGGCTCCTCACTTGGGGAGGGGGGACTGAGCTGTGACCCAAGCAGAGAGAGTCCTCTGAAGGTGGCTCCTGCTTCGGGAGCCCTCACGCCTGTGTGGCATGGGCAAAGGTGGGCTCTGCCTCCTCTCCCTGCCCAGCCCTCATCCTCTGGTCTCGGCCTCAGATACTGCAGAGCTGAAGGCAATGGTGGAGCACAGCCTCTTGACTCTCCAGAACATCATCCTCTCCCCGTTCTCCTCCGACATCCTGCTGGAGGCTGAGAGCTGGGCGTCCATCCTGCGTTCCTTTGGTGAGGAGCTGGGGCAGGAGGCCCTGGGGGAAGGGCAGTTCTGCTGCAGCCCTCTTTTTTGGGGTGGGGGGCAGCCATAGCTCTGGGCCAGCTTGGCCATGAGGGAGGAGGTGCTTTGCAGCAAAGAGAGAGTCTTCCCTATCCTCATCTCCACTTTGTACCTCAGAATCCCTCCTCGAGGCCTGGGTCAATTTCCAGCGGAAATGGGTCTTCTTGAACATTGTTCTCTACGAGATGGACATCAGTCTCCCCAGCTCTGAGCTGGTGAGTTGCAGAAGGGCCTCTTTTAGCCCACGAGCCTCTTGGTTGCCCCTTGCACTGGTCCCCTGCCCGAAGCCCCTTGCTGCAGCCCAGTCTTCTCCCTTCCCCTTCCACGCAGGAGTCGCGGTTCCAGCGGGTGGACAGCCACTTCCGAGAGTTCATACAGGTGACCTGCAATGACCCGCTGGTGCTGTCCAGTGTGAGGCCCCCCTGTGGCTCCTGCCGCGAGAGCCGCTTTGTCGGGGGTGCCTTGCAAGAAGCCTTTGTGGACGGCTCCAGAGACCTGCAGGTCATCATCCGGGCCCTGGACTACGTGCTGGAGGGCACGCGCATGGGCTTTCCCCGCCTCTTCTTCCTCAGCAACGAGGAGCTGATCAGCCTGCTGGCCACAGCCTCTGAGCCAGCAGAGGCCTCAGTCTGGGCCCAGCGCTGTTTCCCCGGAGTGCGCCAGCTGGTGCTCATCGTGCCCTCCGCTACCCACAACCGTGGCACCTTGTCAGCCGAGCTGCCGGTGGTGCAGGTGACGGGCCTGGTTGGGGACCAGGAGGAGGAGCTGGAGCTGTGCAGCATAGTTTGCCTCAGCCGGAAGGCCACCCAGTGGCTCTGCGCCCTGGAGCAGCGCATGAAAGAGACCGTCTTTCAGCAGATGCAGCAGTGTGTGGCCCAGCGCCTGGCACTGCGGCCCCAGCTGGATGTGGCCTTCAAGCATTGCCCTGGCCCCACCGAACTGCCCCTCCACATGGTGGTGGAGGGCTGGGCCACGCTGTGTCGCACCTTCCCCAACCAATGTGTGGTGCTAGCTGAGGAGGCCGTGTGGCGCGCCACCCTGGAGGAGGCCCTCTCAAATCAACGCTGCCAGCCAGAGCTGGAGCTCAAGCTAAACCTGAAGCTGGAAGCCCTGGCCCACTACATCCGCAACTTCCGCAACCTGCGCCCCTCCCGGCCCGGCAGCGAGCAGCTGGGTCTGCTGCTGGAAGTGCTGATCACCCTGACGGTGCAGCAGCGCGACACCCTTGCCTGGCTGCTCAAGTGCCAGGTGAGCTCCCCGCAAGCCTTTGAATGGGCCCGGCTCCTCAAGTACCACGTGGCCCTGAGTCCCGAGTGCGCCCAGGCGGCGGGGCTCCCTGCTGGCAGCCCCTGGGTGGGCAGCCCCCCTGGCTGCTGGGCAGAAGCCCTGGACCGCCGCTTCCGCTATGACTACGAGTACCTGGGGCCCTGCCTGCACCTCCTGGGGAGCCCCTCGCTGGACAAGACCTTCCTGGGGCTGCTCTTGGCGCTGGACGACTTCCGCTGTGGAGGCCTGCTGGGCCACCCGGACGTGGGCAAGTCTCACACGGTGCGGGGCCTGGCCGAGGCTCTGGGTCGCCAGCTGGTCACCCTGCACTGCACCCTGCAGATGTCGGTGGGCTGCCTCTCACGCTACCTTTGCGGGGCGGTGCATGCTGGCGCACTGCTGCTGCTGGAGGCGGCAGAGCAGTTGGAGGCAGCGGTGCTCTCGGCCTTCAGCCAGCGTTTGGTTGACCTGCAGCGGATGTGCCAGAGCCTGAAAGGGGGCCGTGGAGCCACTGCAGGGGTGTCCTCGGGTGGCGGCTCCCCCCATTCCAGCCAGAGCTCCGAGAGCTCTGGGAGCTCTGAGGGTGAGTTGCAGCCTGCCATCCCAGTGCTGGAGCTGGGCACCGATGAGGCCGAGCCCTACCAGCCCCGTGTCCTGGGCAACATCCTCTTTGGGGGGCGGCTGCTGCGGGTGCGGGAGACCTATGGCTGCGTCATCACCCTGGAGCGCCTCCCAGAGGCCCTGTGCCTGGCCCTGCGCCCCCTGGCCATGCTGCCCCCTGACCTCACCCAGCTAGCAGAGGTCACCCTGCTGGCCGCTGGCTTCCGGGAGGCTACCCGTCTTGCAGAGAAGCTGAACCACTTTCTGCGCCTGGAGGGGGAGCTGAACCCGAAACCGCACCTGGGCCGCTGCAGCCTCGTCCGGGAGGTGGTCAGGGTGGCGGTCAGCATCCTGTTCAGCCCTCCAGCCAGGCAGGGCTCCCTGATGCTCAGGTCCCGGCCCCCAGGCAGGGCCGCATTCTTCCAGGGCCTGGAGGAGCAGCCGGCCATGGTCAAAGCGCTGTGCCTCTCCTCGCTGCTCAGCGGCCCTGAGTGCCCACGACTCCAGAACACACGGGACTTGCTGCGCGAGGTCTTTCCGGGAGCCCCCCTGCAGGCTTTTGAGTCGCAGGTGCCCTACCGCCTCCAGAGTGCCTTGGTTGCCCAGCTGCACGAGGACAAGCTGCAGCCCGAGCAGGAGCTCCTGAGCATAGCTGGCCAGCTCTTCCAGGCCCTGCTGGGGGCCCCAGGCGTCCTTCTGCTGGGGCCTGCGGGGGGCGGCAAGACCACCATGTGGCGCACCCTGGCCAAGGCCCTGAGCCGGCTGGCAGCCAGCGATGCTGCTCCAGGGGCCCACATGGCTGAGGTCAGCCCCAGCAGCCTCTTCCAGCCCACCAGCACCGTCTGCCTGTGGCCGAACTGCCTGAGTGTAGCTGAGTTTGTGGGGAGCCTGGAGGGCAGCATATGGCAGGATGGGGTCCTCTCCCGGGTTCTGCAGAGAGCGGCCACCTCCACCCTGGCACGCAGGACGGGCGAGGGGAGCTCCCAGGAGTGGCTGGTGCTGGATGGGGCAGCCTGCGCAGAGTGGCTGGAGCCCATCTCCTCCCTCTTCAGTGCCAGACCTTCCCTCAGTCTGCCGAATGGGCAGAAGCTGCAGATCCCCAAGAATGTCAAGTTCCTCTTTGAAATGCCCAGCGCCTCCAACGTGGCCCCCTCCGTCTGCACCCACTACTCCTTGCTGTACTGCGGGGGGGCCAGCCTGTGGCGGGGGCTGCTGGCCTCGGGCCTGGCCCCTGTGTACCGCATGTACAGCCTGACCCAGGAGAGCCTGGCGATGCTGCGCAGCCTGGCCGAGGAGCTCTTCCCCGCGACGCTGGCCTTCCTGCAGGAGCACTGCTGCTCGGTGCTGCTCCCCCACACCCACCCCCAGGACCCCGTGGCCCAGGGCGTCCAGGAGACAACCACCTTCCTGAGGCTCCTCCTTGCCCTGCTGGAGCAACACCTGCGCCGGGACCGGGTCAAGCACCTGCCTCCTCCTCCTGCTGCTGCTGCTGCTGCTGCTGCTGCTGCCACTCAGGAGTCAACAGGTAAGTGACCCCAGGGTGTGGGGAGGGAGCCTCTTCCTGCCAGGGCTGCCTCCCATGCTGTGGGGCTGTTCCCGTAGATCCCTATGCCCTTTGTGTCCTTTGTGGTGGAGAGGCTCCTTGCTCTGGCTCACCCCAGCCCTTTCCCCCCAGACGCCAAGGGCACCGTCTTGGACAGCCGCACTGCCTCCTTGTCCCGTAGTCTAGACGACACCGTCCCTGCGCACCACCACCTGCTGGTGCAGAGCATCTTTGTTTTTGCCTACATCTGGGGCTTCGGAGGCCACCTACACCCCAGGTACTCTGGACTCCTTGCCCTCTTTGCCTCACAAGGTGGGGGGAAGACCTGAGGAGGGAGATGTTTATCATGGTCCGTGGGGGCAGGGGAGAGCCAGGGAAGAAGGAGCCTTTGGAAATGCTATGGAAGTGTATGGAAGGAGATTGTCCTCTTGGTGCTGTAACCTTCCAATAGTTTGACATCACCCCCAAAGGCCACTCCTCCATAGTCTCCCGAGACAGACGGGCGCCAGCTGCCAACTAGCTGATGCTGTGTACTGAGGGGGCAGCACAGAGGCTGGAGAGATGCAAGTGAGGAAGAGACCTTGGGGGAGGGGAGGGGGGGACTGGAGGAGCAAAGAGGGTGGGAGCCTGCAAAGACATCTCCGAAGCCAGCAAGGGCCATCCCAGCAAGTGAAGAGGTGAGTGGCCCTGGAGGTCCTGCATGGAGGCAAGAGGGCTCTGTCTCTGCCCCCAAACCCTCTCTCCTCATCCAGACCACCCCAAGCTCTTCTTCAGCCCCTCCCCCCTTGTCTGGTGGGGGAGCGTGGGTTGCCAGTGCCCAGGGCCACACGGGGGGTGGGGGTGGGAGGGAAATGGATGGAGAACACACACATTCAGCTGCCTCATGGGGCCACGTCACCCAGGAATTACAGCTGCAAAGAAAAGAAGAGTTGTTCTGTTGTCTGGAGAGGTCGCTTCCTGGTTGAAATGTTTTGCCCCTAACATTTTTTTTCCTGGGGCAACCACCCCCGGGGGCCCCCCATGCTATGCCCCTGCCCCCAGGCAAGGCCCTGCGACGACAAGGAGGGCTTGGAGAGACCCACTTCAGACTTGGAACAAGACAACCCACGGAAAGCCAGCAGCCAAGATCCTCTCCTCTCCTCTGCCCTCTGGACCTTGGGCTTTTCTCCCTTGTGGGCATCACAGTGGTGCAGCAGAGCTGCTTTCGGAAAGGCTGACTCTCCACAGGGGCCAGAACATCTTACTGTGCATGCAGTACTGTACATGGGTCCCCTCCAGCTCTACGATTGGATATGATTCTGTTGTATTGGGGGTGCTGGACAGGCAGGGTGTGAGCCATGCCGGTGGGTGGGGTGGGTGGAGCAGCATTTTGGTATTGCGGTCTTGGGGGCTTCAAAGAGTTCTTCCCCTGCCCTTTGCCTTCCTCCAGGCACTGGCCTCTCTTTGAGCAGTTTGCCCGCCAGGCCCTGCACAGGAGCCAGTTCTCCATCAAGCTCCCCACTGGGCCTTCCGCCTTCGACCTCTGTCCCCTGGCAGCGGATGGCACCCTGGAATCCTTTAACGGGTCCTATCTAGCCAACCGTGTCAAGGTCCTCCCAGTCACCTTCTCTGTCCTGCAGCCCCAGGTAGGGCCAGCCCCTTGGGGGGGGGATCTCTGGCTGGGGAGCCCATGTGTGTTCTGCCATTCCTTCCTCCCTCCTCAGCACGAGCGGGCGCTCTTCGTGGTGGACCTGCTCCTGAGCAGCGAGCGTCCAGTCCTGCTGGTTGGGGAGCCGGGCTGCGGGAAGTCCTCCTTTGCAGATATGCTGGTGCAACCGAACCACAGCTACCACCGGGTCTGCCTCACCCCTGCACTTAGACCCGCCCACCTGCGCCACCTGCTGCACAAGCGCTTCCTCAGCCTGGCGCGAGACAAGGGCAAGCCCGGGCGGGGGGCAGCTGCCAAGGGACGCTGCCTCTTCCTGGTGGAGGACCTGCACTTGGCCTTTGTGGGTGAGCCAAGGGGCCTGGGGAGGAGAGCCTCTCCCTGCATTGTGGGGAGTCCGTGGGGGATTTTGTCACAGCTCTTATGGTCCTCCTCCTCCTCCTGTCCAGATTCAGCCCGGGGATCGAGCCCTGTGCTGGAGTCCCTGCGCCAGGCTCTGAGCTACCAGCAGTTCTACCACGGAGAGACCCTGGAGGTGCAGCACTGCCCGGCCACCGGCTTCAACTGCTTTGGCACACTCTCCGTGCCCATGACAGGCGCCCTGCCCCTCTGCCCTCGCTTTGGCAGGCTCTTCAGCACTGTGGTGTTGCCGCTCGTGACCAGAGACTCCCTGATGGGCCTGTTTGTGGAGCCTGTTCTGTGCTGGCTGGAGAAGTTCCCCCTGCTGACCCGGCAAAATGACTTGGCCTTGGCACTGGTCAGGGCCACCATCAATGCCTATGAGATGGCCAAGAGCTTGTTCCCGCCCTCTCCCGCCTGCTGCCTCTTCCACTTCTCGCTGCACGACATCCAGAAGGTGTTCAAGGGGCTGTTCCTGCTGCGGCCCCGCCCAGGCATCCACCTCAGCAGTCCCCTGGAGGAACAGAACTTCAAGCTGGCGTCCAGCCGGCGCACCTCTGGGGTGACCAAGATGACCATGGGGGCGGGCTATACTGCCCTCCTCAGCACCCGACTGGTCGTCCGCCTCTGGATACACGAGTGTCTGTGTGTCTTCTGTGACCCACTGCAGAGGGAGCAGCAGCGGGAGCTCTGCGAGCAGATGCTGATGGACGTCGCCATAACTGCCTTCTGTGCCAAGCGCAATGTCATACGGGTTGCACAGAGGACCTGGTCCTCCAGCCCCCCCAGGGACCAGGACCACCACCCGCCCAGCAGAGCTGGCATCACCTTCCAGCTGCCCAGCAAGAGCTTCAGCCTTGATGCAGAATGGGCAGCGGAGGAGGAGCCAGAAGAAGAGAAGCCCCTCTTCCCTTGGAGTGGTGAGGTGGGCTGCCCTGACCCCTGGGACCCAGTGGAGCAGGCAGCAGCGCTGGCCTTGGACCGCCCAGACCCTGGAGAAGGCCTGGCTGTTTTGGAGCTAGAGAGCGAGACCACAGAGGCGGAAACCACAGAGGAAGCTGCAAGGAAGCAGACCCCTCCCTCCCAGGGCCGGTCCCCACGTGACCGGCGCCGGGCGTCCCCCAGCCGGCTTCACTTCCACAAGGCCAGGCGCCATGGCTCTCCCAAGAAGGAGAGCACCGGCCCCCTGCTGCCCTCCCACCTCCTGCTGCAGCCAGGTGAGGAGCTCCGGGACGTCGTCTTCAGCAAGGACCTGGGCCCCGACTCCTACAGCCCCAACACCCACAACCCTTACCAAGAGAAGCTCTGGAAGACCCTGGAGAAGCAGCTGAAGCCCTTGCTGCCCCAAAACTTCCTGCTGTGCTTGGAGGCGCTGAAGCACATAGTGCGCCTGAGCCGGCTCTTCTGTGGCCCTGACCGGCATGGGGCCATTGTCTCCTTTGCCCGCTGCACAGGGCGGAGGACCCTCGTGGCTCTGGCTGCTCGTGCCACCGCCTCGCTGCTCATGGAGATACCTGCCAAAGAGGATGAGGCAGGGGCCCTGGCCTTGCTGCGATTGGCCAGTTGGCAGGCAGGCATCATGGGCAAGCGAGTGCTGCTCCTGGTGCACGCCGGCATAAGCCTGGCCAACTTGCACCTGCTACTGGCCCTGATGGCCGAGGGCACGTGCCCTGGCCTCTACAGCCCAGAAGACACCATGGCTGTCATCCAGGCCCTGCTGCAGGAGAACCAGAACATCAAGCGGAACATGCGAGAGGAGCTCATTCTGCAAAGGTGTGGGGCTGGGGCAGCCCTTGGCCCAGGGGGTTGGCAAGGGAGGACTTGGCTCAGGGCTCAGGTCCTGCCTTCTGCTTCCCTTGCAGATTCTTCCAGTTTGTGCGTGCCAACCTGCATGTGGTGCTGCTGCTGGGGGGTGCTGGCTCCTTGGCCCTGCCGCCCATCACAGCCACAGCCCTGGCCCAAGTGCTCAGCAGCCTGGAGGTCTATCAGCCATGGAGCCATGAGTCCTTGGTGGCAGTGGCCTCCAAGCACCTCATGTACCACCAGAAGACTTCAGCCAAGCTCACTCGAGGTGGGTGCCACGGAAGCAGCAGCTGGGAGTGGGGAGGAAGGGCACTCCCTCCTGTCCCTCCAGCAACAGCAAACAGCCCTGTGCCCCCCGCAGGTGTGCCCACCATGCCGCCACCCCCCGCTCCCTGCTTGCTTGCCCACTTGTTCTCCACTCTCCTTGGTCTGGGTGATGGCAGCGTCCCAATCTCTGTCTCCATGATGGACACCCCACCCCAAGCTCTGACCTGGGCAGGTATGTCCATTCTCTGTTGTTAGAGCTGACGTCGGTACATGACCTCAAGGACTTGATGCATCGCACGGCCGAGGCTGCCTCCCAGATCCATTGCTGCACCATGGCATACACGACTTCCCTGGCTGCCCACCTCCCCCTCATCAGCCCCAAGACTTTCCTGGATTTCCTGGACACCTTCCTACTGCTGTTGAGCAGTCTGCAGGAGAAGAATGCCAAGCAGCTAGATCGGTGAGTGTGGCTCTTCCACTCAGCTGGGCGCAGCAGGGACACCAGCAAACCCAGTTTACACTTCCTGGGACTTCAGGTAAGGCCTCTGGGTCCAGCCATGTTGCTGCCTTGGGCTGGGGCCAGGAGCTTGGCTGTGGCATTCTGGAGCAGCTCAAGCCGGTGGGATTTGGAGGTCCTGTTATGGGGGCTCCACCCCTGCTCAGTCACTACTGGAAAGCAATGCGTTTCTTGGCTAGCACTGGGAGTTTGTTTCTTGGTTCTGGGGCTGTGGAGTCCCACAAGGGCCCATTCTGTCTGCTGTACCTTTGAACGTCTACATCAAACGACTGAGAGCCATCCTCAAGGGATTTGGACGCCATCAGTATTCTGGTGCCAGGAATCTGCCTTTCCTTTGACCCCAAGAGTGATTCAGTCCTGGGGACCTGCTGTTGTCCCTCTCGTCCAAATGCTCAGTGTGATATTGAGGTGAAGAAATGCTGCTCTAGGCTGCATGAACAGAAGTTTAGTGATCAGATCAAGGCAAGCCATCGGGCTATTCTAATCTGCCTTGGTCAGACCACACCTGGAATACTGGCTCCAATTCTGGGTGCCACAATTAAAGGATATTTATTGACAAGCTGGAACGTGTGCAGAGGAGCACAACCAAGATGATCAAGGGTCTATAAATCAGGCTTTATGAGGAACGGTTAATAATAATAATAAATTTTTATTTATACCCCGCCCTCCCCGGCCAGAACCGGGCTCAGGGCGGCTAACACCAATAAAATTACAATAAAACATAATAGGAAAGGGGGAAAAACTGTTAATTAAAATACAGGTTAAAATACAATTTAAAATGCAGCCTCATTTTAGTAAGGTAAAGGTAAAGGTACCCCTGCCCGTATGGGCCAGTCTTGACAGACTCTAGGGTTGTGCGCCCATCTCACTTAAGAGGCCAGGGGCCAGCGCTGTCCGGAGACACTTCCGGGTCACGTGGCCAGCGTGACAAAGCTGCATCTGGCGAGCCAGCGCAGCACATAGTAGTAGCCCATAAATCAAAACCATACGGGGAGGGAAACATAAGAGTCAGACTGAGTCCAAACCAAAAGCCAGGCGGAACAGCTCTGTCTTGCAGGCCCTGTGGAAAGATGTCAAGTCCCGCAGGGCCCTGGTCTCTTGGGACAGAGCGTTCCACCAAGTCGGGGGCAGTACTGAAAAGGCCCTGGCCCTAGTTGAGACCAATCTAACCACCTTGCAGCTCAGGACCTCCAAAGTGTTGTTATTTGTGTGTGTTTTTTGTTTGTTTATAATATTTTTATTGATTTTCCAACACATATTAAGCACAATACAATACACAATACAAAAACAAACAAACACATAAACACACAGATATAATTTCAAAACCTTCTTTTCATAAATCTTGCTTCTCCGACTTCCCCATACCTCCCCTTTCTGCATCCCTATTTCCAAATTTCTTTCAGCAAATCCTCACTTAATTTAACTAATAACTCTTTTTTCCCTTCTCTCTTACCTAATCATTTACAGCTGTAATCCTCTTTTTTCTCTAACCTCGACATTTTAACACTCATTAATTTTATAATAGTTCTTAAGATAAACTTTAAATTTCTTCCAATCTTCCTCCACCGTCTCTTTTCCTTGGTCACAGATTCTGCCAGTCATCTCAGCCAGTCCCATGTAGTCGATCACCTTCGTCTGCCATTCTTCCAGAGTGGGTAGTTCTTGTGTCTTCCAATACTTTGCTATAAGAACCCTTGCTGCTGCATACATAAAAAAAGTCCTATCTCTCTTTAACACCAATTGGCCGACCATGCCCAGGAGAAAAGCCTCTGGTTTCTTATGAAAAGTACATTTAAGTACCTTCTTCATTTCATTATAGATCATTTCCCAGAAGGCCTTGATCTTCGGGCATGTCCACCAAAGGTGATAGAAAGTACCTTCAGTTTCATTACATTTCCAGCATTTGTTGTTGGGCAAATGATAAATTTTAGCAAGCTTGACTGGGGTCATGTACCACCTGTAAATCATTTTCATAATATTCTCTCTTAAGGCATTACATGCCGTAAACTTTATACCGGTGGTCCATAACTGTTCCCAGTCAGCAAACATGATATTATGACCAATGTCTTGTGCCCATAGCTGATTTAACTGTTTCATCTTGTGTATTCCATTTCAGCAACAAGTTATACATTCTTGACAAATTCTTAGTATTGGGATCTAACAATTCTGTTTCTAGTTTTGATCTCTCCACCTGGAAGCCAATTTTCCTGTCTTGTTTATACACCTCCATTATTTGATAATAATGGAGCCAATCTCGTACTTTAGACTTCAATTTCTCATAACTCTGTAATTTCACTTTTTCATCCTCTTGTTCTAAGATTTCCCAATATTTTGGCCATTTAGATTCCATATTAAGTTTTTTCACCTCCTTGGCTTCCATTGGCGACAGCCACCTTGGGGTTTTATTTTCCAACAGATCTTTATAACGAATCCAAACATTGTATAGTGCTTTCCTAACAATATGGTTTTTAAAACCTTTATGAATTTTTACCTTGTCATACCATATATATGCATGCCAACCAAACATATTATTAAACCCTTCCAAATCTAAAATGTCTGTGTTCTCAAGAAGTAGCCAGTCTTTCAACCAGCAGAAAGCTGCTGATTCATAATACAGTGGTGCCTCGCAAGACGAAATTAATTCGTTCCGCAAGTCTCTTCGTCTTGCGAGTTTTTCGTCTTGCGATGCACAGTTTCCCATAGGAATGCATTGAAAATCAATTAATGCGTTCCTATGGAAACCGTCTTCAGACCAGGTCCGGGGACAGTCTGTCCCCCGACCTCTTCTGAAGGCTGGGGGGGGGGGGAAACAAGGGCTTTTCTTCCCACCCCCAGCATTTTAAAAAACCCTGGGACAGCGGAGGACTTCTCCGCTGTCCGGGGCGATCTTAAAATGCTGGCGGGCGGCATTTTAAAATCACCCCGGGACAGCGGAGGACTTCTCTCCCGGGAAGGCAGGCAGGGGGGAACAAAGACTTTTGCCCCCCGCCGGCCTTCAGAAGGTGTTCCCGCCCCGCCGCCCGGCTTCGGAGCATCGTTCCGAAGCCGGGCGGCGGGGGGAGGTGTTCCCACCCCGCCACCAGGCTTCGGAGGAGGTCCGAGGACAGTGGGGAAGACGCGCTGCGCTTCCCCGCTGTCCCGGAGATTTCCCTATGGGCTGTCATCTTGCGAAGCAAGCCCATAGGGAAATTCGTATTGCGAAGCGCCTCCGAAACGGAAAACCCTTTCGTTTAGAGGGTTTTCCGTCTTGCGAGGCGTTCGTCTTGTGGGGCACCACTGTACAATTTTAAGTCCGGCAGGGCAAACCCCCCTATTTCTTTTGCATCAGTTAATATCTTAAATTTTATTCTGGGCTTTTTGCCCTGCCAGACAAATTTAGATATATCTTTCTGCCACTTCTTGAAACAGTCCATTTTGTCCACAATCTGCAATGTTTGAAACAAAAACAACATTCTAGGCAAAACGTTCATCTTAATAACAGCGATTCGGCCTAACAAGGAAAGTCTCAAATTTGACCATATTTCTAGATCTTTCTTTACTTCTGTCCAGCATTTCTCATAATTGTCTTTAAATAAGTTCACATTCTTAGATGTCATGTTAATCCCCAAGTATTTCACTTTCTTTGCCACAGTTAATCCAGTTTCATTCTGAAACCGCTCCCTTTCAATAACTGTTAGATTTTTCTCCAGTACTTTAGTTTTTTGTTTATTCAGCTTAAATCCTGCTACTTGACCAAATACTTGAATTAACTCTAAAACTCTTTTCGTACTAGTGTCTGGCTCTTGTTTTTTTTTTTTTTATAAAATATTTATTGAGATTTTTTAAACAACCAAATAACAAAATAACAGATAGAAACAGAAAGAAAAAAAGTCAGAATAAGATTATATAAAAGAAAAAGATAGAGAAATAGAAAGAAAGTAAGAATAGAGTACATATATTAATAAATCCACTTTCCATCAAACTTTGGACTTCCTCACATCACCCTTCCCTGCATTCCCAACCAAACAGTTATGTGCAGCAATTTGTTACCTTACTTCCATTTCTTGTTTTATAAATCACCAATACTCAATTTCAACTTTAAAGTCTGTTGGCCTTAAATTAAACTGCTTATAAAGAGCATAATATTACTTCAAGTTTCAACATTACCTTAAACATCACATATTCTCATATATCTTACAATAATTTTACTGCTGCCATGTTTCTTTCATTCGTGCATTCTCCTAACATTCATACAACTTGTAGTGTTTTTGTAAATAGTCCTTAAATTTTTTCCAATCCTCTTCCGTCGTCTCTTCTCCCAGGTCTCGAATTCTGCCAGTCATTTCTGCCAGTTCCATATAGTCTATCATTTGCTTCTGCCATTCTTCCAAGGTGGGCAAATCCTGTGTCTTCCAATGCTTAGCCATGAGTATTCTTGCTGCTGTTGTTGCATACATAAAGAAAGTTCTATCCCTCCTTAACACCCCTTGGTCAACAATGCCCAGAAGGAAGGCCTCTGGTTTCTTAAGGAAGGTATACTTAAATACCTTTTTTAGTTCATTATAAATCATTTCCCAGAAAGCCTTAACCCTTGGGCACGTCCACCAAAGGTGAAAAAATGTTCCTTCAGCTTCTTTACATTTCCAACATTTGTTATCAGACAGGTGATATATTTTTGCCAGCTTGACTGGGGTCATGTACCACCTATATATCATTTTCATAATATTTTCTTTCAAGGCATTACATGCCGTGAACTTTACTCCAGTGGTCCACAACTTTTCCCAGTCAGCAAACATGATGTTATACCCAATGTCCTGTGCCCATTTTATCATAGCTGATTTGACAGTTTCATCTTGCGTATTCCATTTCAACAGCAAGTTATACATTTTAGAAAGTACCTTAGTCTTAGGCTCTAACAGTTCTGTTTCCAGTTTTGATTTTTCCACCTGGAAACCTAATTTTTT